AAGGCGATAAGTTGACATGCGGGCTAGGTGCCTAAGAAATTGATACAGATTTCATTAGAGAAGTTGAAGAACGATGAAGAAACAAGGGAAATACTAGGACAATCACTGGCATCAACGGTTATAAGGCAAAGAGAATGACGACATTCTGGACATCTCCTGATGAGTAGAAAACAGATAATCACCAAACGGGAAACAAGTGGACTGGGGGAAAAAAAAAGAAAATCCAGAAGAAACCCTATAACGAATGTTTATAACAGAGGGTAATTGTGAAAGGCTGGATTTCGTTTGGGATATTGATGCAACAATTGCACGGGAGGGGAACGAAAGGAAAGAATAAATTGCCAACAATGTGTGACATATATCAGCACCATAGGATGATAATGACGATAACTGATATAAACTTGTATCGATTTCTTTCAAATCTCCATATTCACAGACGGGCATACAGATGGTCGAAGTGGATGGTGTGAACGTATGGACAGGTTGGTCAGTTTGTTCAGCCACCTGTGGCCAGGGTATTTCCACACGGCAGTGCCAAGAGGAAGACATCAGAGTGTATGTATCAAATATGCAGTTTAAGACAGTTTAACTTATCTCCGATTCTTTCTTTAGTGATTTGATTTGATTTGATTTGATTCAAGAACCCACATCACAGCACTCGGGCCATTCCCATAAGCGCTCCGTCCCCATCTTCAGCAGCCAGCGAAGAGTTCCGTTACTAATGGTGCCAGTAGCTTTCTGATTAAACTGATTCTTTAGTGATTGCGTAGAATGCTTAATTCTCTATATGGGTTCCAGAGCTCCATGGTGTGTGTGTGTGTGTGTGTGTGTGTGTGTGTGTGTGTGTGTGTGGTGTGTGTGTAGGGAAGGTGGAGGTGAAAGAATAATAAGCATGACGTAAAGCCGACTAATTAGGGATATTTCTTTCGAAGTTGCTGCCTTTCCATGGGCGGTCAAGAACCAAGAGGCCGCATACAAATAAGTCAAATCTGTAAAACCGATGTGCACCCAAAACTCAAGTTCTTGAACATGACCATAACCCAGAAATGGAAGAACAACAATAACTTTCTGGTCAACGCAAAAAAAAAAAAAAAAAAAAAAAAAAAAAAAAAAGAAGAAGACAATATCTAAACATGGTAAATTCGTAAATTCTTGCATAAAGCGAAATATAACACTTCCGTATTGGTTGATATATTTCTACAGATCAAAAGCTGATACAGCCTCATGCAATGGAACGAGCACGCAAGTAAAAGTGTGCAGTCTGCTGGTAATGTGTTTTTCCCATCTCATGTATCTAATGTTTTGCCGTGCAGAGTTGGTTATAAGCAGCTGTTACTTTAACCCGTTTTATGGGAAGGAGATAAAATCAAGTCTGAAGGAGGTTCGGTATAAATACTATTATCACCAGATTCTTTGAAAAACGTGACTCTTGTCACGGCACCCACGAAAGTCTATCTTTCTCTAGCATCCACATGTGCTTTCATTTTTATAGCCAATGAATCTTCAGTGTCCTATATTCACCTTCGCCGAGTCCTGCTTCTGCCTCGTTTTCCGGCTCTGTAACAACCCCCCCCCCCCACCCTTTTTCCCCCACTGTTCTCTCTAGGTCTCCGTGACATTCAACATGGCCAAAATATCCTTCGGAATAGGAAGCTATTTATAATCCAGTTTTTTTTAATCGTTTCTCAGATCCTGTAGGTTACGGTGTTTTTCTTCTTCTTAGATTAAAGAGTTACAGTTAAAGTCGACATATGCATATGCACCGGGTTTTATTCCGTATGGTTCAGTCCCTAAAGGCTGAATTAGGTCCCTAAAGGCAGAACAAACAACTGCCTGAATCGCACAACGGTTGCGTTACACGGGCCATTCACCAGTCAATTCCTTGTCAGCCACTCCGCTATTTCAAAAGTACAACATGTCATTAACCTCAATAAATATCTCACTGAACGCTGTCAATCACTTCTTCGACTTCAGCCCAAGGCTGCCGAAGCTGGTACTTTCGTACACATTTTGAACTGTTTGAGACGTAAATTGCAAAAGCGTATTTTCTAGTACTTTTGGTACTACACCCGATGTGTTGGTACGTTTTAGAAATTGTGCATCAATATTTAAAATGTTGGTATTGTGCGCTTGATCAAATAAATCTTACCGGTGGAAGACGTACATCAATTATTCGATAAGTCATGCAGTTTCCTTGATATTTTTTTTTTTAAAGAAGAACATATTGGACAAATTTAAATTAAAAAAAAAAAAAAAAAAAAAAAAGAGAATGAAGGGTACAAATAGTGAAGGATCAACCATCTAATGCTGACAGAGTAAAAAAAAATGCTTTATAATTTGAGAAGAAAAAATGTGGTGATGAAAATCGCTTTTCATTAATATTAAAATGTATGCTTAGTCGTTTGCCCTTATCTCATTCATTTGCTTCATGCGCTGCAGAATTTTTAGCTTCGAATTTATTTCTGCTACCGACAGCGCTTTGTTAAAGTAGTTTTTTCAT